TCAGTTTTTAGGGTAAGGATTTTAGAAAAAAGTATCGTCTTATAGTCGGAAAAATACGGTACATAATAACATATTAATATAAACAATTTCAAATATTGCAATACAATAGCACTTGGCAATATCAACTCTCAGAAGCCCTGTGGAATAACTTTGGCTTGGCAGCTTTCCAAGGGACACTAGAATAGAATTAGTCCGGTCTGATCTCCAGAAGGAAATTATTCTGTAAAATGGGTGTCACCAGGAGAAGGACACATAGTCCTTGTTTAGCAACCATAATTGGGAGCAGGAACTCGGTTGTTAAGTGAAGCGGTTGCTAAGTGAAACTGCGACTGCTTATTATCTTATTTCAACTTTCCTTTGCTTTGCAGACCTGTGAAGGTCATAAATGTGAGGATAGGTTGTAAAGTTACTTTTTCATCACTTTCATAACTCTGAATGCTAAACAAGATGGTCGCTAAATGAGGACTACCTGTACCATTTCTAAGCCCCCACAGATCTCACCTTTTGTAAGGCAGAAACCCTTAACATACTCAATGAGACAAATAAACTAGATGGGCTGTTTCTGTATGGAGAAATCAATTCTGCAGATATCTAGGAGACAAACATATAGGGTTGTAAACATTAAAACTAAAACTTTGAATTGTACCTGGAAACTTATTGGAAGCCAATGTGGTGCTTCCAGTGTGGGTGATACATGGCTGAAGTGCTCTCATTTGCAAGCATACAGGCAGCTTCATTCTTCATCAGTTGCAGTCTCTGAGTCTACCGACCTTCAAAGGCAACCCAATATAGAACATGTTTTGAGTATGACAGAAGAAATATACATGAAAAGAAGTAAAATGTAGCTTATGTCCTGACTCCATCAAATAGTTTTTAAAGTATGATCTCAGTAACGTCCTGGGTGCAAAACAGTTACATGAAGTTCTTGGCCTGAAAAAGTTTCTCTAACTATGACTGTCTGGATGTGTTAGTATTGCCACGTTTGGAAAGTAATTTTGGTTGAAAGTAAGTAAGTTTGGGAGTGTAATTATGCAGATGGTTCCCTTCTATCTGAGTGCTGTTTTTAAAATCAAGGTAGAAACAAGAAAAAAAAGGAATTGTGCTTCATGATGCAAAATGTGTGTATGTAGCTCTGTTCCTTACATACTTCATGGATGTTAAAGGGCAGGACTTCTGTCATGTCTTCATGAAACAGGTTGTATCATTTTAGTGTCATTGTGGTTAGGAATAGTTGCTTATGTCAAGAAAGTGAGTTTGTTTCTTCTTGTATTGGAAATGGCAAAAAAATTCATCTTCAGTTGCCATGCCCTACACATTCCAAATATAGTCAACAATGGCTATTGTTTATCTCTGAAAAGGAAGGAAGGAAGGAAGGAAGGAAGGAAGGAAGGAAGGAAGGAAGGAAGGAAGGAAGGAAGGAAGG